GAAATGAAATGCAAATCGTTTTATGTTACTCTATTTCAGATGTGTAAATGTCATGCACAAGATGTAGGGATTTTATACTAGGTTTAAGTTAAATGCAGTCTTTATTTAGTGTCATGTTTTTATTTAAAAGCATTTATTTAAAGTTCTAAAAAACAAAGAATTCAATATAGCAGGACAGGTGCAACTGCAAATGATTAATGATATAATTCTCAGTACTTTATAAAATGTCTAAGACTGAAGAGATTTATACAGTGCAGAATGGCAATGGTGTTTTGATGTAGGGAATAGGTAATCAATACCTGCAAGCTTAGAAAAAGTGTTCCATTTCCTCCACTAATTATATGGGTTTTTTGCAAGGCAAGGGTGTCTGGAGCATGAGACACTTAGAAGAAGAATTAATTTGAAATCTGTAGTGGAAGATCAGTTTCAATTAAAACTGCACTTGAATGTACATGGAAAAAAAGCAAGCAGTTAGGCTTAAACCTTCTCATGGTTACCAGCAAATAAATGAATCCCAAGCAGCAATTCTTGATTACATTTTTATAGGCATTTAGCTAAATTTTTCTGGGCATGAAATATTATTTATTTTCCTTGATTCTCAAACTCTAAAATGAAAATATGAGGCTTTCCTTCCCTCGCCCCAGCATTTTTCTTGTCTTTTAAACTACTCCCTAAAAACAATATGGGCTTGGAGATATAGATATATTAGCACAGCTGTCCTGAAATCAGCAGAACAGCTTTGAGTCAGCACCTGCTGAGGACCTGGTCCTACCTTGCTAGCTAGCTACAACTGCAAATGTAATAGTGCAGAGCAGACATCCTGTGGGAGTTTACATGCCAGAAGTTTTGAAAGAAAATTTATGCAAATTCCTCCCTTTAAATATCTATATATATCTATATATATCTCATGCTGATTCTACACAGCAGGTCATGAACTTCTAAACCAAAGCTTAGTTTTATGACAGTAATATGCAGTGTCAGGACCTGTTGCCAAAGCACCTGTAGTAAGTTGTAGTTTTCAACTCCCATGAGCATCTTATTGCATTGGTATTTTTAAATGATTCAGGGCTAGTCTGAAGGTATTTTATACTTACTGTCACATGCAGATCCTTCAGCACTTCCATAGGTAAATCTTGGATTCGAATTGGAACCTGGAAGGGTGTGGGCAGTGGGGTCCCACAGGGCTCGGTCCTTGGACCGATACTCTTTAATGTCTTCATCAGCGACTTGGACGAGGGAGTGAAATGTACTCTGTCCAAGTCTGCGGATGACACAAAGCTATGGGGAGAAGTGGACACGCCGGAGGGCAGGGAACAGCTGCAAGCAGACCTGGACAGGTTGGACAAGCGGGCAGAAAACAACAGAATGCAGTTCAACAAGGAGAAGTGCAAAGTGCTGCACCTAGGGAGGAAGAATGTCCAGCACACCTACAGCCTAGGGAATGACCTGCTGGGTGGCACGGAAGTGGAAAGGGATCTTGGCGTCCTAGTGGACTCCACGATGAACATGAGTCGGCAGTGTGACGAAGCCATCAGAAAAGCCAATGGCACGTTATCGTGCATCAGCAGATGCATGACGAACAGGTCCAAGGAGGTGATACTTCCCCTCTATCGGGCGCTGGTCAGACCGCAGTTGGAGTACTGCGTGCAATTCTGGGCGCCGCACTTCAAGAGGGATGCGGATAACCTGGAGAGGGTCCAGAGAAGAGCCACTCATATGGTTAAGGGCCTACAGACCAAGCCCTACGAGGAGAGACTAGAGAAACTGGATCTATTCAGGCTCCGCAAGAGAAGGTTGAGAGGCGACCTTGTGGCTGCCTATAAGTTCATCACGGGGGCACAGAAGGGAATTGGTGAGT